GCGGCCATCTGCTGAGGCCGACTGGGGTTAAAGGAGACAGAAGCAGAGACGTTTAACTTTGGTTTTCTACTGAACTGTCAGCATTTCCTTCCCCTCTCTGCACCAATCAGAGCTCAGGAAGCTTCTTCTGATGGGGCCTAAACCCAGAAAACAGAACCAGGCATTTAGTGGGTTTTAAAGCAGCATTTATTTACATTCATTATAAAAAGAGCTGAAGTTCAGATGCATATCATGAACACATTAAAGCAGCTTCAGGTTTGTAACAGACAAGCTTCACACAATAACAATATCATATAAACTTTTTATCCTAATAAAGGAGGAGATGAGCTTCAGGTTCTGAATGTGGAAATAAACCTGATGAAGCTGCAAATGAGGAAGATGAGGTCAGAAAATCACTGCAGTATAAACTATCTGACCTTAAACTGCATTTAAACCTGTAACCTAACCTGCTGTAGGAACAGAGTGGATTTATTCACTTCAGTCTATGTGAAAGAAGAGATTTTAAAAACTAAGAGAAAAAAGAAGATGTCTGTGAATCATTTCCAGCTCATTCACAGGTTTAAATAACAGAAAAAAATTTTTTTTAATTATTATTTAAAACAAAGATGCACCAAGAATCAGTGTTTCCATGGATGGAATATCAAATAAAATGATTTAAAACCCTTGTTAAAGGAGGACCCAGTTGCTTGTAAACATGTAATTAACATTAAAGACGATAAAATGATAAAGAGATAGAGGCTTAGAAAGAACCCAAGCTCATGAAGGACGGACATGGAGGTTACTGGAATAAGTCTACATAAACATTGATCCTTGAATATTCCCGCTATTATTAGCTGTAATAAATAACTAAACAGGATCTTTCCACCAATTTTACCTATAATCTATATAACTTATGTCTTTCTACTTGTTTTCTTAACATTACTGTATGTTTGATTAACTTGTTAATGCGGGTTGGATCTGTGAAGAAGCAACGGTTTGGCTCAAAGGCTCCACCTCTTGGTTCACTTAGAAGGAAAGTGTTTTATTTGTACTGAGAGCTGAAATAGATCTAGAGAGAAAATAACAGATTTATGCTTTAAATATCACTGCATGCAGCATCTATGTTGTAGGGAAGCTCTCTCCGTAACAGGAAGTTTGTTAGAATGAATGTTTGGTTGATAAATTTTTGTTTTTATCATTTAGAAAGGACCAGTTAAGGGATTCTTAAATGACCAAACAGAACAATTTCTGACACGTCTGGTAGACGATTTAATTCTTAAAACCATCCATCTGTGTCTCCTGCAGCTTAGGTGTTTCTCTGAGCCTTTCCTCCTGAACAAATCTCTGAACTCTCTCCTCAGAGCTCTGACAGTGATTGAGGAATGTTAGAGCTGAGGGACGTCTAAAAGCTGCAGGACACCCTCTACTTAAGGCTCCAGTTCATTTAACCTCCCTAGGGTCAGCAAAAAGATCTCTATCCCGGGTAGGAAAGGAGCTATAGACAGCATTTAGCCATACGGACATCAATATGGGACGGAACACATGAATCCTGCTATTTAAATTGGGTTTACAGCAATCAGGGAAGAACTACAGAAGACAATATTCAGACAAACGTATTGAACGGGTGAAGCTCTACATGATAAAACCAAAATCATATAAAGGCGTAAATATTAGCATTAGCTTGTCACACCGATAAGAGTGAAGAGATCATGTATTTTTGTTAAATTCAGTGAGCTGGGCTGAGCCTGTAAGTTATGTCACCCAAAGGATTGTGGGAAAAGGCATAGCTCCTAGTGAGGGATAGGAGCATCTATGCAAATTAAACTATGATAGGAAGCTTCCTGTTTCCTCTTTCTACCTCCTTCCTGTCAGCACTGGTCATGGCGACTGCTGACCGACTTCTGCTTTAGCTAAAGAGTCCCAACAGGTTTGCCCAATTCTGAGACTCCTGCCATCAGTGAGGAACAAAGTGGTTTATAGGAGCTACAGGCGAACCAGAACCAGTGATCTGGTCTCTTTCTACCACAGGATCCATCTCCCTCAGAGGCTCTAGGGAAGCAGCATGAGACTCTGAGACTATAGTGGAGCTGAGGAACCAGCTAAACAGAGAGTTTCTGCAGTGAAGGTTTAGAGTTTTTATTTTTATTTAAGGCC